GATTTTTAAAAGATGAAACTGTAATATTTTAATAATAAAAGATTACAGTTATTCTCTATTAATTAAGTTTTATTTTAGAATATCTTTATAATTACTTTAAAAAAATCTATTGTGACTTCTCTCTAAAATTCTAACTTTCATTTTTCATCCTTTTGAAAATAAAAAATCACAGGATTCATCATAAGAAAGAACTGTATACATTTATTTGATCAAGGTGAAGAAGAGAGTAAGTTCATTTTTTTAAAGTTGTTTTGCTTTTTTGAATTGCATATGGGTTATTCTTCAATCTATTTGACTCAAATGTATTCAAAGTGAATATCTCTTTATTTACTATCATAATAATATACTTAGATTTATTATTAGAGTTTTAATTTTATAGTTAAATCATCTTATGAGAAATCGATCTCTAAAATTCAATTCTGAAATAAGAAGTTGTTTAACCCAAGTGAAACTAATATTAATTTTGTATAATTTAATTAATATTGTCTAAATTAAGTGTATGGTAATCTTAGTTTGAAATTTTTTATTTGGATTAATGTGTGTCATATGGCTGAATTGTAATTTGTGATTGAATTGTTGAATGGGTACACCTGAGTTGTATTGTAGAGTGAATATGAGGAGTGATATCGTTGGCATCTAATGATGAGGAGTGGTATCGTTGGCATCTAATGAATCATTTTTATTGTATTGTTAGTGCTTTTGATTTGGATAAAGGATCAAAACGCTCTTCAAATCCAACAATACCCTATATTATGTAGATTTATGTGTTTTAGTTTATGCAAACTCGTTGGACGAGTCAAACTCACGTTGAGCGAGCTTTAAAAATAAAATCACAGCATCAAGACATTTCACTGAGCAAACTTGATTAAATCAGTTTCCACGGCTTGAGTCACTAGGCGAGGGGAGTCATTGGTCACTAAATGACTCTGCTCCCGTTGGACACATTTATCTATATGTTTTCTCCAGTGTTTGACTTAATGAACGAGTACATTCACAGAGATAGCTTTTTAAGCGAATAAGTGAGTTTGTCGAACGAGTCTATTAATTGTTGTAATTGATTTGGGTTGAAACATGGAAAATCTTTTAAGGAATTACTATATATAGATGTACGAATATAATGCTCCTATGGAAGAATGTTATATTAGTTATGTATTTAGTAAGATCTACATTCTGAAGTTTATAACAAAATCAAAAGATAACACAAGTATAAGTAGGTCAAAATTACATCTAATCATAAAGTTGGACTTAAAAAGCTAAAAGCATAAAACTTGTCAAAAGCTCAATTGTAAACCCACACACAAACTTTAGTGTGTGCATATATTGCTTTATTAAATTAAATGTTATAATTTTAAGAAATTAATAAAATTAATAAATAGATTATAGTCAATAATTATATTAAATTATGTATTATATATTTTATTTAATAACATAATAATAAGTATGATATAAAGATATTGGTTTCAATATAATAAAATTACAACATATTATATTATTTATAAAAATAAATATTTTTATATGTATAATAAATTATATTATTTCTAAAATTTAATTAAAGTCCTGTAGTAGGACCAAAATCACCTTAACCCTAACCTTAATCCACTTAGAGAGAGTTTTTGGGTTATGACTTTTTTTTTGCCCTCACTTCAAGAAACCTCTTAAAAAGATGTTTTTTTCAATAATGAATTAGTACTTAGCCATGAATCATAAATAAAATTGATACATTTATTGAAATACATGGTATCAATTTTATCTAAACATAAATTTTATCTCCTTGATGCTTAGAGGTGCCAGGAAAAAAAATGTTAAGTGCAAAATTTTGTGAATCAATAAACATTTTAGACAAATAAACCAAAACTCGTACTAATTTAAATGGAAATCTTATGTTAGGTGAAAAAAATTTAAGAATAAAAAAATATTTTAGAAAAATAAACCAAAATAAAAATAAGTACTAATTTAAATGGAAATCTTAAAGAATTTAAGAACATTTGATATAAATATACTAAAATGTGTAATATTACAATTTCCAACTTGTAATAATCGTTGCTGAAATACAAATATCTTATCTTGTATGGAACACAATCTCTACATTTGTTGCTAGTAAGAGGTACCCAAACAAAATAAAGTTAAACTAGAAACTCAGAAACTAAAACATAACAACGTATGAAACAATTAGAAATATAGTAGCATGGTAATTAAGTACCAGTAAAACAATTTTAGAATTCAAATAGCTCCCGGAAACATTTCAAAGTTTGTCAACCCAAAATCGTAATTTTCCATTGTGAAATAAAAACGTATTACCATTGCATATGTACGAAACAATTAGAAATATAATGATAGGAAAATTAATTATAATTAAAATAATTTAAGAACTCATATAGCTCCCAAAAGCATTTCAAAGTTTGTCAATTAAAAACCATAATACTACATTGTCAAATGAAAACACCTTACCATTACACCAATCACTGCTCAAACATAGTCACAAAATACGTTACCACATCTTTTAAGTTCCTAATTTCTAAAGCTTAGAGTGGAACAAAATCTCACCTCTTACAGTAGCCTAGAAAAACAAATTTAAATGAAAAACTTAAAGAATCCATAAAATCTATAAACATATTACAATATCCAACTGGGTTGCCGAAATACAAACATCTCATCATATCCTATATTCAGATATGTCATACTTTAAATTAACTATATAATTAATTATAGTAGTCCACGTTACAAAACCGGTTTTAATTGTGTTTTGAGATTACATTACTATTATTAATTTGGATGGACATCCAATTTTGAATTCAGGAGCTAAAGGATATTTAATTAGTTGGAATAGTCAGAAGTCTAATAGATCGTGCTTAACATATTTAATTGCTTTGAAGTAGTATTGTCTGTATTATAATAATCGAGATCAAACACAGTCCACGAATGTTTGTTATTTTCTTATTTTTGTCATTGCGGAGGAAGACTCGAACAAAAGAACCTTAGCTACCTGACATTTCTAGCAATTGAAAATCCGTGATGATGCACTCAGTGCCACTTACTTTTTTGCTTCAAATTAAGTATTAATGGTTGCACATGGATGCTTTGTGTTCATGAAAGCATCTTATTAATTGATATGCAAGAAGAGGCCATGTGTTAGAAAGTGGACCTCCATCACTCATTTCTCATACTAAATCAAATAAATTTCGAATATAAAACAAAACATGATAAATGATCCATAATGATAATAAAAGATAAAAAAATAAATTCCGATTAAAAATATATATATTATAAATTAATCTTGAAATTTCTAACACCTTTTCCTGTAACTAAATCCTAAGTTATTAGATGCCATAAGGTGTATTTTACATAAATCTGTTTCGCACTAGCAAAGAAAAGAAAACAGTGATAATGTTATTATTGTCACATCAACTAGATAAGCTTCTAGCTTGTGGAAATACAATACATCTTTGTGTGGCCATTTTTTGTGCGTATTCCCTTCATAGGTCTTATATTTTAAGGATGGGAAGAGCAATTAGAACCCTTGCTTTGACTAGCTACTATTTTAGGAGAGACAACCAGATTCGCAAGCAAGGTCAGATGAAAATTCTTTATTTCAATATCTGACTTAAATTCGTACTGGGGAAGGCTTTAATGATTATTGCAAACTATGCCCTTCACTAGGTCTTTAACATTTCCAAAGGGGTTGGAAACATCTAGGTCCCAGAGAATAAAGGGACATTAAGCTTTAGGCCAAATCAAACATATTTGGATTTTAACACAAGGCAATATCCATTGTCAAGTCTCAAGTACCATATACAAAGCTTATACTTACACATTAATTAATTAGTTATTCACTAGCCCTTTTTAGGTGATTGGCACATGGAAAATTCATATATTTTATGAGTCAATTGCTCTTAATGACAAACAACTTTAGCCATCGTGTTGGCTAAAGATGGGGCAATCATCAATATAAACAAGACACGTAAATAGGGCTGTTAGATTCTATACAATTCGGCAAGAAACTACCCCAAGATTGTAAAAAACCAATTCCAATACTAGCTGCAATTGCGTCGTTTCATGCTAGGGATTACCATTCTCCAGTTACTCATTTAACCTACTCACTGCACCAGAAAAGTTTTAAGTATACCCTTTACTTTAGAATCATTACCATAACTCAAATCATTCACTAATGGCCTTAGGTGTTCGTAAACCTATTCAAATTAACTGTTATATTACCAGAGACAAATATATTTAAAGAAAAATATATGATCTCAACTTATTTATGAAGAACTGTTTGCGAAGATTACGTCGAATTCATAAAACCAACTAATAATCACTGTTTGAAGAAGATTTATGAATTAATTTTTTCCAGACAAACTACAATTTCGAAACTCTCTACAAAGAATAATTTTCTCTTTACAAAGATTATTTTACATAGTCATGTACGGACATTTATTAAAAATTGCTAAACAGATTATGTATGTTACATCGTTATGTATGAACATTGAATAAAAACACTCACAAGACTACTTGTTTCATTATTGACTATCTTAACAATCTTGCCTGAGTAGCAGATTGCATTATCGTCTTGATTTGAATACTAATAGTTAAAAGACAGACTTAAATCTAAATTAACAAAAGATATTATGACAATACCAAAAAATAACATTCCGCTGTTAACATTAGACCTAACATCAAACTTTAATGACAAATGCAGTAAAAAGTTGTTTCAGGTATGAACAACAAAAGATCCTTGATCCAGTTAAATGTCCCTTGTTTTTCCTTAAAGAAGAAAAATACCCTCCATCTTTAATTACAAAATTTATTTATCACATAAATAACTGTAAAAAATAAAGACAAGCTAAAAATTTATTTATCAATTTTAGATCTAATAAAATTATTATGCATTTCTAGTTGAGTGCTTTGCCCTTAACCACCTTATGATAGTTTTATCCATGTTACAATAAAAATTTAACCAAAACTTCAAAATATTTATATATGAAACAGATATTGTAGATCTAACAATCACAAAGAGTAAGACTCATGTCATTAACAAAATTGTTAATAACTTTCCTCCGATAAATATAAAGTTACTCACTAAATCAAAACATAAAAAAATGAGGAAGAAATGTACAAGGACACGTTAGTAATTAAACAGGCTGGTGGCAGACACCATGTCTAGGAACTTGTTGCTGAGAAAGAGCGCGACCCGAGATGAGGTGGACGTTGTACTTGGGTTGAGTATGGGCTCGAGCTAACATGTCTCTCATGCGTAGACTCCAGTTACTACTTGGAACTTGAATAGCTTTTGTTGGACAGAAGCAGTTTAACCTTCTATCAAAAACCCTTATCGCCATGCATTTCACCAGAAAAGAGCCTCAATCCGGCAACCTTAAATCTATCCCTAATTGGAAAGCTGTTATCCACAAACTTCTTGGCATCCATAAGCACAGACCACTTTAAAAGCAAATACTGTCAAAACCCTTGCATGTCAAACTTTTAATGTATGGAAAAACTGGTCAGTTAAGAAGAAGCGGGAAGCATTTGCTTATAAAATTATGACAACATGCTCATCACCTAAATCTTAGAGATGTTGAAGATATGACAGAAAGAAAAAATAGGAGCTGGATCTTACATAGAAAGGAAAAGGGAGCTCCCTTCAGTCCAAGTACAGGAAACTTAAGAATCAATTTGTCTCCCGCATCATTCACTCATTTGATGAGCATCTCCCAGAGTATTACTCAGCATTTGGATGAATGAGTCGGCAGCTAATTGAATCTTATTGCCACCTATGAGTGGACTGAAGAAAGCTCTCTTACCTACATTTGTTAAGGCCTCAGTTATTCGTCTCCATCTGCAGCTTAGCTTAGCTTAGTTAAGCAAACACACAGATCTGCGTGACTCTCACCATAGACACTGTGAAAACCTTGTATTGAACATAAACACATTATAAGAAACCAGTATTAACTTATGCTGGAATTGAAAAGGAAAGGAGAGGAAAACATCTTACTAAAGAATCATGTCATAGCCCAGATCTCAAACACTGAACACAAAGAGCAACACTATAACGAAAGCAAGCAGCTTGCAGAATCTAAGTGAAATGAAGGCCTTTTTATAAGCCGTAAGAGAGGAGGGTTCTGAAAGTTCTTGACGGTTAATATTCAATTTTTTATATATTATGAAATTAGATGTAAATTATAGATTGACTAATGAAAAAAAAAATAGCAGTTATAATTGAAAAAAGAAGAAGAGAGAGCTACATCTATTATTTATTTTACCTATTTTACTGGAAAGTTATTCATATTCTCCTTCCATATAACAGCAGCAATGTCAGTCATTTCCTGGATCATAGAAAGAAAAGTGACTACTTGAATCTGAGCGATTATGGAATAATTTGGGAAATAGAGAAATAGAATGGAAAGGTTTGAGGAGTATGGAAAATTCTAGATAGAGTATATTTTCAAATGAACAGAGGATGGGTGACTTCTTTGCATTAGATCTTAATGGAATAAAACATAGGTATCTTTGGGTGACTTTATTGTAATAATTTTAAACTAGAATTAGGATGTAAATATATGTAGTTAATATTTGTATAAGATACTGAATATAAATTATTTATTTAAGTAATAACTTTAACTGAAAATTACTAAATATATAACATTTTATATTTTTTTTCCTCTTAATTTTGTAACTTTTGGTTTAGCATACAAATTATATAGTTTATTTTAAAAAAGATGTAAATAGTTATTCATTAAATTAATAAAACATCTACTAGAGTGGTAAGGATTTGAATAATACATAAATAGTTCAAATTTTAATTTATTTTATATTTTAGATAAAATACAATTAAGAGAAGAAATATTACATTTTGAAATATAACTTTATTATTGAACAAATATAATGTTTATTTGAAATTGTTCTAATTACATAAATTCAATTTGTTAGATTATTATTATGCACACTCTAACACCTAAATGTACATTTTATAAGAAAGATGGTGCATTTTATATATTTTTAATTGTATTCATAATGTAGTAATAGAAATATATGATTTGTAAGTTGAAAGTTTTAAAAAAAATTATATTTAAAATAAATAAATTCATTAGTTTAGATTCTGTTCTACCAAGGTAAAACAATAGTTTCAGAGGATGAAATATATTTCAATAATTGAATAATAAAATGATAGAAAAACATGTTTTACAGATCATAAAAAGTTATACATTCAAACACGAAACTTATTCAAATAAAAACATTTTTTAAACAAATGGAAGTTATAAAATTTATAAAGTATGTATTTAGAAAATTAATTTTAATCACAATGTATTTTAAGTTTAACCATTTTTTTTCTATCATTATTGTTCTCTAAGCCTAGGGTAAAGATTTACTTTATTCTTTCGTTTATATGTACACATACATACACAAACTTAGTAGTAGTATTCTAGTGTACATGATGAAGTGGTGTGTTTTTTAACAAGTAAAATATGTTACTACTAGTGTATTAGATATGTATGGTATTTTAGTAAATTAGTAAAGAGAAGGTAGGTTGGAGTGAGTGTATGAAGATCACATCATGTGAATGAGTGGCTACAGAAACAGGTCTTGTCAAAGGGAAAAAAAAAGCTGGGTACCAAATGTGGAAGAGATATGGGTGTCTCTTGCATTTATCTCTGTCCCATTACCATTTCATTTCAATTTGTCCAATCAAACCTTTTTCACATTTCCTCCTCACCTGTCCATCCATGCAACACCTATTCTACCCTTCAATTTCTCTATTTCGTGTATAGATCTAACCTACCAAGCATACCCCCAATTTAAGACTCTTTTCGGAACTCGTTAATGTCAGCGCTTCTGCCAACACCCAAAACAAAACAAAAACAATTTATGTTTATGTTTACATGCCCTTGCGTGATTCTCTCATTATCACATGTTACCACTGTTAGCTAATTAAATTGTGGTGTTTTTTGTAGGAGAAAGAAATGGCATAAAATAAATAGGCTCTTCCTACGCCAATTACAGATAACGAGACGGAATTATGGTGTCGAATTTGTTGATGGAAAGAAAAAGAAAAAGGTTAGATAAAACACAGCACAGCACAGCAGCACGTGATCAGGTGTAGAAACTATGGTGTAGTGGTGTAGAGGGTGAGAAAAGTATATTATTAGAAAGAGAAAGGAGAGACAGAGAAAGAGTTGATGAAGTACAGAGGCTAGATAGGTACTACTGTGCTACGAGGTCACTTCATCGGACAACGCCATATGATATGATGTGTGCAGTAACACTTCACCATTCAAACTTCAAAGCTTCCTGCTACAGCGCTGCATGAATAACTCTAACCAAGGAGGGCTAGTAAATGAATAACGATCAAAAATATCAATAAATATTTCTTAACAACATTATTAAATTAAGTAACCAATCAACCAAACTTTCAAAAACTTCATTTTTGGAGCCTTTTGAATTTTATTTTAAATCTACGGTTTATTTCCATATGACACTCACGGTGTTTTTAATCTAAGAGAGATGATTTCAGGAAAAGAAAATTAATAAATTTGAAAAAAATTTGAGTATAAATTATGTGTTGTTTTTTTTAAGTGATTTATAAGCAATTGAGAGTAGATTTAAAAGTAAAATTTAAAAATTTGTATAAGATTTGATAGATGTCATAGATTTAATGTTTCAAAATGAGTTAATTACAAGCCAATTTGATCCATCATTGGTTCGAATCGGATTGGATTTGAAAAAATGTCATTTTTTTAATACAGGTCAACTTTCAACCAGATTCACCTAGGTTAAACCCATGGTAAGTCCGGTTGGTTCACTAATCCACCTAATTTAATTTAATTATTTATTAATTTATGTTTTAATATTATTAGTTAATACTTTTTTTTTATTTTGTTGTAGATAAGGATAAAGAAAAATATGTTTCTAAAAGAGAAAAATATTATAGATTTATCTCTTCAACACTCTAATATTATAAATGTATAAGTGACACAAAAATGATCAATTTTAAAAATTTATTTGTTCACTTTTTGTGTTTGCTTTTGGATTACATTTGGATTGTTTACTACTTATTTTTTCTATTTTGAATTGCTTTTGGAGTTTAACATCATTTTAGAGAAAAAAAATTATATTTGAATTAAAAAAAATATTTGCAAAAAAAAAAGTTAGTCATTGAGCCAACATGTTTAACCCACTAACCAGTGGTGGGTCGGGCCGAGTTCAATTTTTTTTGCCTTGCTAATAATGAGTCAGGTTGGATTGACTCACTAAGTAACCAAATTGTGGTGCGCTCAGCCAGATTTCCCATTTTGGCAACACTATAGAAAATAAAGATTAACAAATTACTCTTAATAATGATAGTAATATAAAATGATATTTATGAATAATATATTATTTGGTAAAAACAATTTTACACAGTAAAATAAAAAAATAAATATTTATTTTTTTAGGATATTGCAAAGGGAATCCTCAAACACTAAACTTGAGATTAACGATAAATATTCTTTTTCAAAGAAGTTATCCGAGGGGCTAGAGCACTAAAGCATGAGGCTTAAGGCACAAAATTAAGAGGAAACCTCAAGCACCCACCATAGTTAAGATATGAAATGTAACTTTTACAGCTTAAGCAATAAGAAAAGCGGTTTAGAAAGATCTAGAATAAAACCTTTGCAGCTCAAGCGCCACAGTTGAACCTGAAGCAACCGAGGACAATTTATAAATATAGACCTCATGTCCTTATTTTAGGCATTGATTGAAGATCAAATGTGTAGTAGTATAGTAGAAATGGTTTGATGAGGCTTGAGAGAGTTGATTTTATTGTAAATCTTAAGTCTATATGTTGTTGGGATTGTACTGCAATATTCTAAGAGCATTTGGACTTTCTCGTGTCGAGGTTGAATATAATCAATTTTAAGTCTTGGTACTTCTAATTTTTGGATATATATCTATGCTTTTATTCAATTTATTAATAAATTAGTTTGTGTTTGTTGTTTGATGAACTTATCACTTGTTTTATTTCACTAAGTGGGAGCTGTTTCCAAGTGGTCCAAATAATTCTCCTCGTGCTTTTAGATAGTAGGAATATATTTAAGGCTCTAGCTAGTTATAGAGTCCATATCTTAAAGCAAGTGAATCATTTAATTAGTCACTGAGCAGTCATATTAAAGTTTGATGGTCTTAGACTCTAGATGTCGGAACGGACCTATAGTTACATTACGTTGTATATTGTCTTTTAAAACATGAGTATTCATAAAGTGCATAAATCTTTCTTACACTCTAATTTGATGGGTTGTTATATATTAGGAGAAAAACATATAATACTTTGTTTTGTCGTGTGTAGTGGGGTATTTTCTCTATATTACTCATTAAAGGACATGTATACTTTGACATTTTTCAATATTTGAATACTTGCTATATATTTCGAAAGAAGCATGTGGATTGAAATAATATGATCGATCGTCCAAGCATGAAGGAGACCTATCAGTCGTGATCAGAATCAACTAACCATTTAATTAATCTAAATAGGTTAATAATTAAGTTTAAATGAAATTGGATCGTTATTTGGTCGACCTAATCAAACTCTATGAAGAAAAGTATAAAAACACACGTATGTTTCTTAAAACTTTTGTTATGCATTTATTATAACATTAATTACTTAATCGATCAAATCTGAGTTGATTTTAACGTTGGAACACCTTTAGGTGTCGTAAATTAATTGAAGAAATTTTTTCTCTGCGTGAAAAGAAGATAGCATTTGAACAGGTGCCAATGTTCACCCTATACTCGAAATAAAATATTTATATAATACGAATTTTCTGACATTTTACTATTTCATTAATTTATACATTTTTTTATTAATATTTCTCGGCATCTTATAATTTTATGACATTCGGTTTTCTAATAATTTATTTTAATTTTTCATTTTTCATAACTGTTTGGTCTACGACCTATCCATTAACTTGGTAGGGCTGGAAAGAAAGGCGATTAATCGAATCGGTTTAGTTTGATTGATTCGAATTCAACATATAGTCACCTTTATTACGAGTAACACTTTTGATATGAACAATATTTTTTTAATGATCACAAGTACTTGATCAGTGTGTTTGAACTCAACATGATCATCATTATGGACAATAAAAATCCTCCTTCAAAAATACGAGAGCTAAATACGAAAAATTTAAACCTGAGATCAAAGTTTAAACTCTTCACAAAGTTTATATACTCTATTGTTACTCATTTTGTGTGTATAGGATTTTTGTAGACAAATAAGAACAAAAAATAAAATATTTTAATATCTTGAAATTAATTTATATAAAGTTAAAATTATTATTTTACAAATTAATTTATACTTAAAGTTGTAGTAAAACAAAATTTTCAAGTGTTTATGGGGAATTTGTCCAGGCTTGCTTGGCGAAACTCTCAAATCTTGGCCTTTATGTTAGGTCTGCAATCTAGTTCCTCCAATGTTACTGTTTCTTGGGCACATTTATTGGGCCTAAATGCCTCCTTAGACCTGAAGAAAGGCAGTTGCTCCATCCACCACCACCGAATGCTCCCTACACCACCTCATACCAATTTTGTCTTTCTCTAAAACGGATGTTAACATCCGTTTCACCTTCAACGATGTTGACATCCGTCCGTTCACATATTTTATATTTTAATTTATTGTTTTTATTTAAAAAAAAAAAATATCTTCAACGGATGTGGCGACATCCGTTAACGGATTGCCACATCCGTTTTAATATAATTCTTAAAACTATTTTGATTAATATTTAAATAATAATACATAAATTAAATTAATAATAACTATTTTATTAAATAAAATAAAATAAATTTATAATTAATTAAATAATAATTTTAAAAAAATTAAATAATATTTATATATTAATTTAAAATATAATAAAATAAAAAACTAAAAACTTTAAAAAGAAAAAAACTTTACGGACATCCGTATCCATTCTAATAAATTTTTAAAAATTATTTTAATTATTATTTAAAATAATAATACATAACTTAAATTATAATAATTATTTTATTAAATAAAATAAAATTAATTTTTAAATAATTAAGTAATAATTTTTAAAAAAATTAAATAATATTTATATATTAATTTAAAAACTTAAAAAAACTAAAAACTTAAAAAAAAACTAAACGGATGTGGGACATCCGTTGAAGAATTTTTTCTTCAACGGATGTCGACATCTGTTCAAGAGAAAAGGAGGAGGTGTAGGATATTTTAAAATATAAAGGATAGTTTTGGAATTTAAAAAAAATGTGATGGTACAGAGAGCGATGTGTGGTGGTGTAGGAAGTAACCCTGCTGAAGAAATCTCTGTGGCTTGACGGGCCTAAGTTTGGTTATTTTGGTTTCGACAATTCGGAATTGCTTCCTGCACCCCCATCATTCTATTTAAGGCCATTTCTTCACGTACCCCGTGATTTCAGTCTGCATTCTCCTTGAAGATAGTAAAATGACGGATTTGTCTTTATTTTATCCTTTTGATTTTCATCTTCTTCCTACACCTGCCGTATACCTCCTATTCCCGATTGGGTTTGATCCTACAAAGCTGTTAAAAGAATCTAGTAAAAAATTCTTTCGTTTTATTAGTCAAATTCTTTCGTTTTATTAAAAATTAATGACATTTTAATGAGAAGCATTATTGGTATTTTCGAATAATGATGTTTTAGTGAGGAGCATTATTGGTATCTTTGAAGATTTTGAAAATAAAAGATTAAACCTTTAGAAGTGCAGGTGAAAGGGTTTGTTTATTGTTCTCACTGTCCTATGTGTTTATTTTAGATTGACTGAAGTTTTTAAATTGTAAAATCTGAAATTTATTTTCAAAATTTTACATATCCTAATTATGTTTATTGAAAATACATGTGCAATTTAAAATGTATTTTTATATTTTATTTTTAAATATATATTTTAAAATACAGAAATAGTTATGTTCAAAAAATGTTTCCACATATTTCAAAACTGTAATTGAAAACTCTAAACCAGGAAACTACCACCAGGCACCACCGCTGAGCACACCACAACTTTTACAAACACTACAACACCAACAAATGTAAATGCCTAATGAATTTAATTTCAGGAGGGTAAATTTGAAATTTATAGAGCTGCAAGTTAAAATTTGGGGGTGGAGGAAGAAATGCCCTTGGTTTCCTAGTGGAATTATTCATCATTTGCATTTTCTAGATATGCCTCCCATTGAGGGGGAGAAATTGAGCAATCAACGCATGCTTTCTGGCATTGTAGTAACAAAGATTCTCAGAGGCACAAGCCCAAATAGACCGTTAGGTATAAGATAGAATCAGAATGCCCCTAGTCAATTTGCGACTTTTTGAGCCTTTCTTCCCTCTGGAGTCAGTAATTGGGACCCAAACCCGAGCATGCTTCTTCTTTGTGGAAAGTAAACATCATTGGACTTGGTGCTTGGTATATTTATAGATACAACGACCTCTATATTATACAAATGAAATCAACAAGACCTAAAACAGATCGCCACATTTCAATTCCTCCAATCTTGTCTTTATTGTTCTTTGTTTGAAGTGTTCATGGGATACAATATGAACTGGGATTTCATCTGGGTGCTGCCTCTCACGTTGTCCTGCTGCTCCTTGGTGCACAGCTTGGGCAACACTCCTGCAAGTGAATCATTGAATTCCTTGGTTCAAGATTTTGCTTTCAGATCACTGGTCAAGCACAGGCCTCAAACAGGTGCTCTGTATGATGCTCTTCTTCCAAGGAACCTGTCTGGTATGGATATTTCAATAGTACGTCTTAGAAGCAGAAGGCTCTGGAACAAAGGTGCCAACTTTAGCTACTTTCGGATCCCACCAAGAACCGTGTCCATTCCCCATGTCAAGAGGTTGGCTATTGTGTACCAAAACCTGGGCAACTGGTCAACCCTCTACTACAATTTGCCAGGTTACTCACTCATCTCTTCTGTTGTTGGTTTTCTGGTTTTCGATGCCTCAAATGTAACGGATACAAGTGAAAGAAACCTCACTCTCAACACAATGGGTCAGCCTATTTCTATTCAATTTCCTAACATCACACTTATGGGTAGGGGTCACATCAACTCAAGGGTGAGATGTGTAGCTTTCAATGCCAATGGTACATTTCAACTTACTCAGATGAGTGCCCCTGGAGTGTGTTACTCAAGAGACCAGGGTCACTTTTCGGTAGTACTCCCACTGGAGAAGAAGAGGGGAAGATGGTATCTGTGGGTGATTGGCTTTGTAGTTGGATTTTTTAGTTTGATTATAGTTGGCTATGCGGGGTTTTCTTCCATGAGACTTCTCAAGACCAAGAGGATTCAAGCAATGGAAAAACAAGCCAATGAGGATCAGGTTCTTCAAAGTAGATGGGTTGGCAATAGTAAAATGCCCTCAGCAGCAGTGACAAGAACTCAGCCAGTTCTTGAGTGCGGCGTTCTTTAGTTCACTGCTCTTCCCCTTGTAATCTTTTCCCAATCACCCTTGTCATTTAGCTAATACTCTTTGGTCAGTGAAAGTATAACAAGCTAGGTTCGTTCATTCTGTGAAATGAACAGAGCATGATTCTGAATACAAATGAAGGAATACTTTACAGATACATCAAGAATTTCTTTTAACTAGTACCATAAAATATTTTCTGCCCGGGGTTTCTCAATGGCACTAAGCAATTTGCATTTGTTAATTAGTCTCGTACAACTGTAAAGTGTAGCATTAAACTTAATAAACTAAAGAAATAAAAAAGTTACGTAAACTCCAAAAGAAACAATATCACAAAAGCATTACTCTGTCCTAACTCCACAAGGTTGCCCAAAGAAAAGCAATATAAAGCACGCTTTCATTTGACAAAAAGTAAAAATAAAAAACTTGGTCATCAAGGCACGACAAGAAGCACAAAACCTTACAGTGTACAAACATGCAAAGTTACAAAGCGAGAAAAAGTGAAAATCCTTCAGCAGATGCACCAAAATCACCTAAAACAATATAAACGGGAAACCAAAATACATTAAAGCTTTATTTGATGTTTATAACACAGTTGACTTGATACATGAATCTTCAACATAAGTCTCATCATATTTTATCAAGAAACTCATGAATTTATTCAAACATATTACAAGGATCGGGCGCCTATACCACGAACATCTCTTTATATAGACTAAAGTGCCAATTTCAATCAACCATCAATATCAAATGCAGAAATGGTTTGGTGATGAGGTCCCTCAACCAAGGTTTTGATCCAATATTCGCCTTAAATTTGAAATCGCAACAAAAAGTACTCTCGTTCCAAAATGGATCAATCATGTGAAAGAGAGACAGAAGGAGTATAATAGAAGTCTAGATACCCCTGGTTACAGAAAAATTAGATATATCACTTGCACGAGAAATTATGAATGCATAGAAATATCAATCATAATTTTCTTGATACTTCAACATTCTAAAACGCTTCTTGCTTTACAGGAGGCAACACAATTCTCATCATATTTTGTTAAGAAACTCTTGAATATGTTTCATATAATATATAAAATTCAAGGATCGAACTCTTCTTCTACAGTGTTACTTCAGAGAATCAAGCAAGCAGCATCACATGCACATACATAAAATAAATCATGAATGTTTTAGTAGATTACTTACTTTAGCCTTCCTCACTTTAGAGGAATCAAATCCAAAAGTGCAATTATAACTCTAATTTCAAACAAATATACACTTGACAAGAACATCAACAACTTGTACTCTACCAAAGGAAAAGCCAGTGGAAGTCAAATGACATGCCTTCGTTTTATTAAGCCAAAGCAGTTATAGCAAGAAAACAATAAATAGTTGCTCTGCCTACCAAAGATCCTCAAAGAGACAAACAATTACAACTCAAACGCTGCACTGCAGGACCAACAGCCAAACAACCAAAACTCATCATCAATTGAGAGCACCAACACCAGTCCCACTTTTGCGTGCAAGCTTTGTCCACTCGGTATGGAAAGCCCCAGGGCGATCAACCCTCTCATAGGTATGCGCCCCAAACAAGTCTCTCTGAGCCTGAACAAGGTTCGCCGGCAGCCTTGCCCTCCGATAGGTATCAAAGTAAGCAAGACTAGCACACATTCCCGGAGTACTAATCCCAGCCGAAACCGCCAACCCCACAACCCGCCTCCACGCAGCCTGCCTCTGCACCATTTCCCTAGCAAACTCCGGGTCAACTATCAAACTAGCCAAATTAGGGTTCCTCTGATAAGCCTTCTTGATCCTGTCCAAGAACACTGCCCTTATGATGCACCCTCCCTTCCAAATCCTAGCCAATTCCCCCAAATTCAAGTTCCACCCTTTCTGATTACTCTTGGCCCTCAATAAATTCATCCCCTGAGCATAGCTACAAATCTTTGAAGCATACAAAGCCTGTCTTACATCATCAATCAACCTCTTCTTATCCACCCCACTCACACCAGTCTTGCCCAATTCATCACTCATCCCCGCCTCCTTCAACACCTTCGCAGCACTCTCCCTCTCCTCCTTTAACCCACTCAAGTACCGGCAATCCAACGACGCCGCAATCGTGGGCGCAGCTATCGACAGCTCCGCTGCCTGCTGCACCGTCCATTTCCCCGTCCCCTTCATCCCTGTCTTATCCAAAATCTTATCCACCAAAAACCCTTCACCATCCTCATCCTTTACTTTAAAAATATCCGCAGTGATTTCAATCAAGAAACTCTCAAGCTCCCCTCTGTTCCACTCTGCAAAGATATCCGCAAGCTCAGAATTCGACAGGCCACCAACGTGCTTCAACACGTCGTAAGCCTCCGAGATGAGTTGCATGTCTCCGTATTCGATTCCGTTGTGGACCATCTTCACGAAGTTCCCAGAACCCCCCTCGCCGATGTAGGTGACGCAGGGGCCGTCCTCAACCTGCGCAGCAACTTTGTGAAGGATGTCCTGGACGTTGGTGTACGCAGTGTGGGAACCACCGGGCATGAGGGAGGGGCCGTTGCGCGCGCCGTCTTCGCCGCCGGAGACACCCATGCCGAGGTAGAGGAGGCCTTTATCGGCGACGTTGTTGATGCGGCGTTCGGTGTTCTCATACCACTCGTTCCCGCCGTCGATGATGCAGTCGCCGGGCTCGAGGTGGTCGGAGAGAGCGGCGATGGTTTGGTCGACGGGAGCGCCGGCCTTGACGAGGATGATGACGGATCTGGGGCGCTGGATGGAGAGGACGAAGTCACGTGGGGTGTACTGCCCCGTGAGCGGGAGGGAGCCCTCGTTGCGGGCCCGATCTACGGTCTCGTCGACTTTGGAGGCCGTACGGTTGTAGACGGAGATGGGGAAACCCTTCTCCGCTATGTTTAAGGCTAGGTTCTGGCTCATCACGGCCAGGCCCGCCAGGCCTATGCGTGACAGAGCTGCTGACTCCATTCGAAAGGAAGGGTTGGTGAGAGTGGTGATTTGAGATTTGTTAAGTGATATTGGAGTATCCAACTATGTCTGAGAAAGTGTCTTTGTAGTTATAAATCTGGTGGCCTATGCTTCTGTTAATTATTAATTTATTATTTAATAAATATAGATTATCTAATTAGTAAATCAGGTTTTTTAGGGTGTTTAATTAAGCAAGAGGAGGAATGAGCGTATTTTGCTTGGGTTGGTGAGATTGGCGGACTCGTCAAGGAAGTGAAAGGCCAGTGACTCAACCACCAACGAGGAGCTGCCTTAGACGACGTTGCTTCCAAGACGTATAGGAATTTCCTCCACGATCAAACGACTTCGTTTTGTTGCGCCAGTTAACCCTTATATTTTTTATATCTCATGGTCAAACCTCTTTGGTGGCTACCTTTTTCTTAAACTACTCTTATGTTGACGTGTGTGAATTCATATTTATGTAACTACTCCTGAGATTATTAACAATTGTAAAATAAAAAGTTGCGCTTTCAATATATCAAACACTTATTTATCCTAATTTTTAGAAGATTTAAAAAATAAATAAATAACTAAAATTTAAGACATTTTATGAGAGAATTTCTTATAAAAAAAATTGTCTAAACATATGTTAAATAAAGTCTTATATGTTCAAATTTTTAATATAACAATTCACTACTATTATCTTTTAAGAAGTTGAAACATGTTATTCTTATTACCATTTAAATGTCTCTACTCAAACAGTTAATGAAATAAAACTTTTGAACTTTGGATTGCATTAATAAAAGTTTTATGTTTATGAGTGTAAATTAAACGGAAATAAGACTTTAATATTTAAGTATGAAAATTATAAAGTAATACCACAAGGTTAAATGTAAGAGCGTATAAGTTGAAAATACTTCTTGGAAGATATCATTATATGATTTTTTAGTCATGTCCAGATATAAAATATAAATAATGATGATATAATTATCTTTTAATATTACATAAAAATAATGTATATTAGTATCTTAGCTATAAAATTGATTTAGTTGTTAGTAACTAATTTATAATTTTTATTAGTATTTCGAACGCAACCTTCCAAACTTAAAATTCATATAATTGTTAAACGAATCTTTCTTTTTCGTTATGATAAATAGAATTTTTATTGAGTTCAAATTTTAGTTATCATATATTCATTTGGTCTATTTGTTTGAGTTTCATCTTTTGTATAATTAACTATTGTTTTAATTCGATTTTGAAATCAAATCAATAAGTTGATCGGATAATCAACTTTGTTTACATCCGAATGTATTTCAACACAACAATTTGATTACGTAAGTCTTATTATATAGGTTTTTCTAGTTGTTACTATTATAGTTATATAATAATTAAAAGGAAATATTTTGATTAATATTATATTAAAGATGTTTTTGTATAGAATTGAGTTGTTCTACAATATTTAATATATCTTTGTTTTACTTTTCAAGATGTTCTTTTTTAATCCTTGAATGAGCAAGAGAAGATGAATACATGTAAATACTCTAACATTCAAATAAGTTAATGTGGTTAAGTTAATCCAATAATTTGAATAAATTTCAAGATATCTTTTACTTGAGAATTAATATCCTTTATATACTTCATTATTTTGGGTCCCTACTTGATTCGGTTGATCCTTTATATTAAACATGTATATTATTTTATGAAGGCTTAGATTCTTTAGTAAATGCAAATGAATGTTATATGAATTCATTACTACTTTGTTAGGTTGAATATGATGTCATTAATCTTGACCTTGTATGATCACTAGTCGCATGTAACCACCACTTTGGTCCTAGCCAAGAAGACATCAATCTTACATAATGCAACTTTGGTTTTGATCAAGATGACCTCAGTATTATACAATAGGTTCTTGTAAGACAAGTTGTTTAGTCCGACGACAAGTTGTTTGGTCCTTGCAAGACAACTCCAACTCCTTTCCAATTAGCATTTAAAGACTCATCAACAAAAATGACCTAAAAGTGATAATTGTTACATGCAAGTGCAACTAACTCATCGATAAAATCAATAGGACATTGTGCTTTGATTGACCCTCTACCTTCACACTAATTATGAAATTCAAACAATTTCATTGATGACCCTACCATTCGTCCTGCTAAATTTGGTCTCTACAAAATCTTATAAATAGGATAATCTAACCTAACAATGATTTCATGGCTTTGGAAGTTGTCAGAGCGATGTAGTGGAATGGTTAACGCGTTGAAGAAACCAAGAGGAAGTGAAATGATTTCTTATCTCAAATTGTTCTTTTAATAATTCTCTTAGGTAAATATAAAAATTCCTTAAAACAAATTAAAGAGCAAGGAAGAGAGAAAATTGCACAATAGGCTTTTAACTCAGCAACAACAATAACACTTAACCACATTCCTTGTGAAAGTTCTCGCTTTATGCTAACAACAACACTCAATCATACTTTCTGTGAAAGTTATCGCTCTATGCCAACACGTCAAGTTCTCAAAGCCAAAGCACAAGGGTTCAACAAACCCTAGAACACTTATCATCGCACACTGCACATAAGATTTTTCGAAATTCAGTTATTCCATATTTGTGAATAAGAGTCCCGATCTAATTTATAGAGATGTCACTCCAAAAATCTATTGTGAATTAATTAACGTGTGATAATCAATTATCCAATTATGATAATTGATTATCCATTTAATGAATGCACAACAATAAAAATGTTCATAATTTGCTAATCAATTATGACAAGTCATAATTTATTATAAATTGATAATCGATTGATTTAAAACAAATTTTAAAGCAACACATAGTATAAAAAATAAACCACACCCTATACATCAATCTACTAAATTATAAAAACTTTAATATAAAAACAAGTCTTTATGAAGATCCTCCTAAGCACTTGAGACTTGACTTTGAAACATCATCAAAATTTGTGCTCTTCATTTTTTTGGGCTATTGTTACTAGAGCAAGATCTGCCTTCTCTACCACTTGGTATTTTATCTCCATTTTTTTTGAAGTACTCTTCTAATGAAATATACACATTGTTCCTTATTGGTGCAAATCGAAACTTATGTTTTGTTGAACTTGATTATTCTAGGTTATACTCAGAAAAATAATTCCGATCATAACTTTTAATACAAACTCAAAGTGATTAAACTCTTTATTTAAATGGATGTAAATTTGGTACAAATTAAGACCTCTCAAACTCTATATAAATTAGTATGGGTGTTGTTCCCTCCTCCACCACCCTATACTTCCTCCACCTCCCCCACATTATTTTAAATACAATTATATCCTTAAGTTAAAAAGATTTTTACTTTTACCCTATTTTAAATAATTTGAAACCCTAATTTTACTTTCTTAGCACCCACCCACGAAACTCTCTTCTCCTTTTCCCATTTTCGTTTCACCTTCCCACCTCTCGCACTTCCATTCCTCTTTCTTTCCAGTTTTTTTTTGGTTTGAAAGCTTCTATTGTCGTCGTGGTGTAAAGGAGCGTCGCCGCCGTGATGTGGAGGAACATCAAGGAGCGTCCAGAGCCTCAACCAGCGTGAGGAAGCATACATCAATGGAGGTGACATCCTTCAACGGATGTCAACATCCGTTTTTCCTTAAACGGATGTCAACATCTGTTTTTCCTTAAACGGATGTCAACATCCGTTTTTCCTTAAACGGATGTCAACATCCGTTTTTCCTTAAACGGATGTCAACATCCGTTTTTCCTTAAACGGATGTCAACATCCGTTTTTCCTTAAACGGATGTCAACATCCGTTTTTCCTTAAACGGATGTCAACATCCGTTTTTCCTTAAACGGATGTCAACATCCGTTTTAGGATGTTGACATCCGTTGAAGGATGTCACCTCCGTTTAAAGGTTACGTTTTTTATTTTAGGGTTTTATTTCAAGGTTTATTTGAATACGAGGAAGCACGACACGCATTGCACCACTCCACGCACTGCACCACGAGAGCGATACTGCACCACGAGAGGGAGACTGCTTGATAATTCTTTCCACCACCACCAACCTTTGCAACTTGTAGTATCTCACGACGAACGAAAGAAAGAGAAGAAGAAATATAATGTTAAAATGAAAGAAAAGTATTTTACTCATGTACGGGACTAGAATAAGTTATTAGTGAAATATGTTGTGAATGGATAAAATTAAAAAATAATAACCCTAAAAATAAAATTTTACTGAGGCACAAAATATTAAAAGGGAGGTGGAGGGAGAAAAGTGTGGTGGTGGAGGAGCAACACCCAATTAGTATACAAGTTTTAGTAAAATAAAAAACATTTTAACTCTTTAGTGATTGGTGTGCAACATTTAATAAGAAAATGAATAATTCATTTATATAAAGTGGTGTAGAAGAAATAATGATTAAACTTTTTATATAACATGATGTACACCATTTGGTATAATAAAGAGCGTTCAAACTTTTTGTGCAAACTAATTGATAAAAAATTAGTATAATCAAGAATGATTAAACTCGCAGAAAGCAAGATTTAGGGTAACTAAAAACACAAATACAAATAAATCAATCCAAAACTTTCAAAACTGAATAAATAGAAAGCCAATCAAACAATATATATATATATATATATATATATATATATATATATATATAATTCTTTTATTGGATTTCTCATATTTGATTTGGACCACCAACCGATCTAAATCAAATTTATACCCACACATAAATGTATATCATTTATAAATTTATTTTACTCCTCGGGTTTATATTTTCATAAAATTAATGCACAACCTGTACTAGTGTATGAAAAATACATTTAATTAAAGATCAATTTTAGTAACTATTTGTAATCACCAAGTCATGTAAATTTATTTATAAGGGTCTATATCAGAAATGTTATACTACTATTCAGACCTAATCCATGGCAAATAGGAATGAAATTACTCGTTGAACGCGGTCCAATTCTCATCCCCCCATTACATGTACCCGAAATTTCACTATCTCCACTCTTTTTTTGTTTTGTTTTTTACTTGCACTAGATACAAGAGAGCAGTTATATTTCTGTCACAATGTTGACAGTAATGTACTGGTGTTAAATATTTATATATATGGTACATTATTACCAGTAAGCTCAAAGCAGCAATGGGCCAGAGCAAACACTTATACTCACGGTGATAACAATCATCACTAAGAAAATTTTTGAACACCACATGCCCCCATGATAACCTATATGGGAGCAACTGAAATAACGATAAATGGTATTATTCAAAAGATAATACTTATAATTCAACGGCCCGAAAGCTATTCAGGTCCAAGACAAGCTTATGCTTCGGGATATAAACAATCTAGGGGTAACGAAACAATACAATCGAAAACCTCAAGCAACAACTTGTCCAAAGAGCTGCTTTCGGATCTGCAACAAGGAAAAAGAAGCTTCATAAGAATCTAATCGTTTGACACGATTTACCAGCTCATCATCTCAAAATAATTACACCCCTTCACCCTTTCCCAAGAAAAAACATAAAGAAGAATGTTGGCTATCATAACTTCAACATATCCAATGACTAACCAAATTTATCATCCTAAAGAATATGGAAAGCTGGAAAATAATGAATTGGATTAAAGGGTTTACAATGTATATGTGTTTGGGAGGAGAAAGGAAATGCGAGGAACAATTAATGAAAAGGATCTCCTGGACCAGTCTAGAAATTACAAAGACAGAAATAGACAAGGAAAGAAAGGAGGTATCGAATTTGGCACTAAATCAAAATAGTCATTTTTAGTTTGCTATATGCAATCAATAGAAACTGTATACTAGTAATATTGTGGAGTTAACTGAATAGCACTTCCCAAGACAAATACGTAAATTGGGGTGTGAAACATAATGCTACAACGAAGTTATTTGAGTGAGAGCAATCTTAATGGAATCTCCTTCCCCTTAACTTAATAATTAGTGCCAATTCTTAATTTTATGTCTAAGGTTATATTTGATATTATATATATGTGTGTGTTTGTGTTAATTATTCTAATCCAATATCTTACCCAATATCTTACCCAATGAATGAGTATTAATTTTTTTAGACAACTAATCACGAAATTTTCTAAGTATCCAATATTCTAATTATCTCCATTTTGGCTTTCCGTCTTACTTTCGGTCTCATTGTCCTTCTAACTTCATATATTTTAATATTAAATTGTTATTATGTTCCTTAAATTCATGTCAGTCTTTTGTTTCATATTCACTCAGATAAGTGAACATTTGAAGCGGTCAGGTGAGTCCATACATACAGGTCTTGGAAGTCTTGAAGAGGCTTACCAAATTTTGTATTAGATATTGATAGCCTTGACTTACTTTAGAATTGAAAATGCTGAATATACTAAAATTAGGTATAGAATTAATCTCCCTTGTGTAGAAAATACACATAGGATAATGTATTTATAATAATGAGAATATGGACTAAGCCCAAATACACATGAATATGTAAAGTTAACATAATTAACATAAGGACTATGTTTTCCTAATTAACATAAAACACAATATATCAGTAAAAAGAAATGAATGTCTTACTATAGTTATTAATTACTTACAGAATTTTTAGGATTTTTTAATAAATACATAATTACTTACAGAATATTATTGATAATATTATAATTGTTTGGTACTATTGAATGAAGTTAGTCAAATGTAAACATTGCTTACATCCTATTAATGATGTCATAGGTTACGTTAAATGAATTAAATTATCTATTGAAAATGATACAATTACTTGATTATTATGAAGTTTTTATAAACAATCATGCAGCTTAGAAATTTTGAAGAATAAACTGAGAATTGTTAAAGGTTAAATTAAACCAGGCCTCAAACATAAATGACGAGTTAAGCCCCAGAAATTCTGAACTAAGCCCTGATGCTTTTGATAGATACATTCGATTACTTGTCCTAGGTGGTGGCCACAAGAGCAAATGATTTGCCTGAAGTTTCCCTTATTTTTTGTATTTCAATGCTAAAGTTTCAATATCTAAAAAAAAACATTTTTCTACTTGAAAATAACATGGAAGTCAACTGCATCATCAACTCAGGGAAAATATCTAACAACGGGGATACATATCACAGAATAAGAATTACTATGCACAAAAAAGTTTACCTCAGGGAGCTTTTTACGAAACACTACATCAAGTCGTGCATCAAGAGTATTTTCACACACAATCTTTCCATCACGAGAAGCTAGCACCACGCCACCAGAACTGAATATCAACAAGAACAATCAAGTGTGCTACAACTGAAATTTAAATATCTAAGCAGATAACAGCTAATCCGATTTTCAGAAGCATCATTAATTGTTGTGGGTAAGAATTACTACGTACAGAATATTTAAAAGTGATACTTTTCTCATAAGACAATGTTAAATTATAATTAACCAAGAGGAAAAAAGTATAGCATAGGGTAAGAAAGTAAATCCCTGAACAATTAGTTAAGATTTAATTGTAACACAACTTTACCAGAAGATATCATGAACATTATGATGATTGGGTCCAGGAGGAAGATAGACTTGATTGTCAACAATGATCTCTGGGGGATCAACATTTGCTTTGTCAGCATACTCCTGTGCAGCAGAATCCAGCACATGCTCTACCAAGTGCAGATCCTCTTTCCGACATCTCAATAAGACAGAAGGTTCTTTCAGTCTTAGCAAACACTGCAACACACAGCCTTACATTATATTCCAAGTCCACAGACAAGCATAGAAGGTGATCTATAAACAGCAATCTAGCAGAATGTATCATTACAAAGGTTTAAAAAGATCATGTAGGGCAGGAATTGAACCCATGCCATCAAACGAACCACGGAGACCAAAGGTTCCCATTTCAGGAATCAGGAAATAGTTATGATTCAAAATGTACCCAAACATTACATATACTTATGCATAGAAGGTGTTACGTACCTGAGTACGAAACCTAACCAGAACAACCTCACACACACTCACAACACGTAAAGAACGAATGATAATGGACGAATGAATATCTTTTATTGATGGTAATATCTGAATAAACAAAAGTAAATAATAATTGGGAGCATAACATCCTTCAATTACTTGGGAGCATAACCTCCCTCGCAGGACGCATAGTCGCCTGTCAACCATACTCAATAATCAAAAGCATACATTTAACCCTAGACTTTCCCTTTATTTATACTAATTATTTCCTAAATAAAATATTTCTCTAGAATAAAATATTTTCCTAGAATAAAATCTTTCCCTAGAATAAAATATGAATATTTTTCTAAATAAAATATTTCCCTAGAATAAAATATGAATATTGTTCTAAATAAAATATTTCCTGCCTATCCTAACTATTGCCCCAATTAGGATAGTCACTCTTCAACCGATCGGGTCCAGATCCCGTTCGGCTTTGCTTCCCCTGCACCCTACCGTTCGGCTCCAGCTCTTCACCGCCTTCCACCGTTTGGCCTGACCTTCCCATGCCTTCCATCGTTCGGCTTGATCCCCCCTACCTCCTACCGTTCGGCTCCCGCTCTTCACCACCTTCCACCATTCGGCTAGACCTTTCCATGCCTTCCACCGTTCGACTACTGTTCAGCCTTTACGGTCAATACCATTCAGTCTCACTTCCCTCCTACCTTCCTTCTCCTTCTCATATACTTTCCAAACCTTATTATTACCCCCTTTCTTATACCGTAACAGAAGGTGATTTGTAAACAGCAGTCTAGCAGGACACATCATTACAAAGGTTTATAAAGGTCATGTTGACCAGGTAAGGGTAAGAGGTAAGGACAGGAATTGAACCCTTGCCATTGAACACAACTCAGAGAAAAAGGTTGGTTCCATGTCAGGAATCAAGAAATAGAAATGATTCAATCAAATGTACCCAGGCACTTGGAAACCCGTCCTAAAAATCTAGCTATTAAGGAGAGAGAACCAATCACTTAAATACTCCACTACACATCCCATACTACTTCATATGGGAGTTTGGCATTCCATAATAACCCAAGTTCTTATCATAGCATCACTCCTAAGTGTAGACATTTTGGTAGCTTTCATTCTATGACACTTCATTTGCTGACACTTCATTCAACTTCCTTGTTAATCAAAACCCTCCATAGATAGCCCTGTCCAAGAAACCAACAACTTTTTCTGATACGAATTGATAAGTATCCAGGCATTTGGGGAACCCACCCTAAAAGACCAGGTATTAAGAGAAGAGAACCAAACACTTAGATATTCCACCAAGCATCTCGTAATGCCTGAGTTCCTATCACAAAACAATCACTGACGTTGATACAATTGCGTCTCCAGGTAATAGCAATTAGCAATGAAAATATTAGTTATAGATACAATGTTGTGCCATCATCACAAATAATACAAAACAGATGTACAATAAATAACCATAACAACATTTGCCTCAGTGCAAGGCCTTTACTAAAAAAATGCAAACAACAATCTGATATCAATACTTGGAAAAACAGTAAAATAAAAGCATCGAACCATAAGTAGGTGTAACAAACTAAACATTTAACTGACCTGAACAATGAGATCTTTAAGAAGGTTTCTGTACACATGATCATGATGATGACTCACACTCAAAAGTTCCTTGGATGCAGCTTCTTTCATGGAACTGATCACGTCATCCTGAGCTTGAAGAACTTTAATTCGAGAAGCGTTCAGCTGCATCGAGTACTCACTACAAAAAACAGAGAATTGAGCCTTAAAACATAAAATATCACAAGCAGCACTGTTTTTACCACTTTGAAGAACAACACTCAGATCTGTGTTTAAAAAATTCGTCTATCTGAACTAAACCCTCAATCTCATTCATCCAACTTCGACAATATCTTTGACTTCAAGTAATTTGCCACAGATGTCAGTAGCTTAAAGGAAATTGAACATCAACTATTCAAACCAAACAAAGTAAATAAGTAAACAAAAGAGACTAAACTAAACCTATGGCCACATATTCCAAATGCAAAAATTAAAATGGAATTATCATTAATTATTGTTTTAATTGAATACTAGGAAAAGACGACAAGGATCCAATAGGCTACTTCACAAGTGATCTAAATTGCATGCATTCGCGAATTCAGCAATTCGGAAGTGTTCAATAAAGATCTGACAGGTCATATTGTAGTACTTAAAACACTTCGCAGCAGTTCAATTATAAATACACTGAATGAGTGATTACAACAAAAAATAACTGGACTGATTGCATTGAATCTGGTTCTATAAAGCTTTTGCCGTAACAGTAATCACAGTCCATGGACATTGCATTAATATCACAAGCAAGGATCAAGATCTATACGAGTAAGACTTGGTCTCCAGAATTTGATTTCAAGCAATGTCAGCTAACGAACAATCCTAACGAATTTCAAACTAACAGAGACCAAAACAACATAAAAAAAAGGGATAGAAAGGTAGTTTAGAAGTTACATCTTCTTGCGAATTTCCACTTGACGCTCTTTGCGTTCGTACTCTTGCCTGATCTTCTTCTTCTCGGCTTCAACTAACTGCAGCTTCTCGATATTGAATTCCTGTAGGATTCGTTTTGAGAACATGAATTAGAAATCGAAAGAGGAGAAAACCGTACAATGAACAATTACCTCTTCGGCCGAGACAGAGATCTCGTTGGCTTTTTCCTCTGCTTCCTGGCGGATGAACCGCACCATCTGCTGGATTTGCCTGGAGACATCTGCGTCGTTCATTTTCAGAGAGGATGCTCAGAGACGATACACCGGAAACTTCCTAGATGATTGAACTTGATACGGATTCTCTCTCTGCCCCCAACCCACAACAGCTCACCTCTTATTTATGTACCTTGATGTTTAACATTTTAAAATACATATTTTAGTTTATGGGTGATTTTTTTTTAATATAAATTTATTAGTTTTTATAATAGTTACTTTAAAAATAAGGAATATTATAAATCCAATGGATCAATTCATCTTACTCATTTTAATTTGCGTGAATTAAGTTACATGACTTAAATCATCGATATAATTTATTAACAATTTTTTTATTCGATTAATACTATACTAAGGGTTTTTCTTTTTAAATAGGATTTCAGGTTTATTATTATTATAGATAAAAAAAATGTGATTGAAATGAGAAGACCCACTAAAAATGGTTAATTGAGTTTTCTAACGAAATAAATAACTACTTTGTATCATTACTATAGTATTAAAAAAATTCATGTAATTCAATCTAAAAGTCAAAAACTTAATTGGTCAATCACAAGTTTGATCAATTTACTATGATTTTTTTAATTTCAAATTAATTTGTTAAAATGATTTATTTATATTACTTGTGTCATATTTTAAAAATTTGTTTTTTTTTATTGGGGGATTCTCTTTTAACATATTAGTCTTTTGAAAGTTATACTCAATGAAAAAGAAAACGAACTGAGCTCAAACAATTAATGAAATGATATTATAAGAATTTTAGAATACATAAATTTTTAACAAAAATTGCATTAAAATACAAATATATTTTTTATGTCACTATTATTCATATGTCTTTTAAGATATTCTAGTAAAAATAAGCAAACTTAAAATATATGATTTATGATAGTGTAAATTCATTTTACACATATGTTTTTCTAAAGATTTTAGTTTTGAGTGGAATGAAATGTAAAATAAGGACTAAAATAATCGAATGTATATTCTTTATACATTCTATTTACTCTAATAATATAATTATAAAAAAATGTAAATAATTTTTATTTATTTTGTATATTATTTTAATTTATTTAATTTAAAAAATATATGACTTAAAAGATAAAATTAAAAAAATTATAGATACCAAAAAGATGAATCATCTTTATATAATATATATATATATATAATATTATTGAAAAACATAGATAAGTTAAAACCTAGATAGGTTTTCTAAATTTCCTAATTTTTAATTGTAAAACTATTTATAAAATAATAAAAACTATTTACAGGAAACTTATAAAAGTTATTTTAATTTTATAGTTATAGTAATAACAATCTACACTTATATATAGGCGATTCATCTCTTTTTTATGTTCACAATTGTTTTCCAATTTTATCTTTTAAATAAATATTTTTTCTAAATTAAATAATTATTTTATCAATTTTTTTAAGTGATTGTTTATATAAATTTAACTGTTTTTTTAACTTATCTATTATTTAATATCAGAAGAACTATCTACAAAAAATATTTTAATGTATAATTATAATAACAATAATAATAATAAAGAACAATTGCTTTAAAAAGTAAGATTGATAAAATAATTATTATAATTAAAAAAATATTTTTTTAAAGGATAAAATTGAAAAATAAATGTAAACACACAAAAAAATATTCTTTATATATAGGTATAAATAAAATTATATATATACCATATGTTATTACTTTTATTTTAAAAATATGATTTTGTTTAATTAGATATTTTATTTATCGTATATAGTATTGAATTTAAATTGTGATAAAAAGACTTAGTTAAACATAATCAAATATTTTTAATTCTTAAAGATTGATTCTACTTAGAATATAAGTATTTATTATATTTCTTTTAGTTTAGATGCGAGTCTTTCCGTTTTTTTTTAATTTATTATGTTTTAAGTTAGTTTTTATTTCTCTTTATTCTTATGTTGATTAATTTTATAATATAATTTTTAAAGTATCATGTTAACTTTAACTTTTAGATAACGTATCTAATAATCAGTGACTTGATTAAAAGATAAAACATGTGACCAATAATGTTTCAGTTATGTGTAATTTAAAATATATATTTTTTTTCTTTTTCTTTTCTTTTACATTTTTTTTCTTATGGTTTAGGAGATCCATATGATGCATTATTAAAATATATAAATGAATTTTGTATAAATTTTTCGAAAAAACAACGTTTATAAATTATAAGTTGAGAAATTAAAAACATACTTAATAGAAATGTATTTATTAACCAACAAATATCCACACTTAACTCACAATGTAACATTATTATAAACATTCTCACAAACTCAATATTAGCATATGTAAAAAAATTACTCAAGGTTTAATTTTTATACTGTATAATGTAAAAACTCTTATATATTTACTACCAATTCTACTTTAATGAGTTTCTATTTTTATTTTGTAAAATAATTAATATTTCTTTGGTATGCATGATAAAGAATTGAAAATTGTACATTTCTTATAACGTAAGTGATCATCTATATAAATAACATAATAACAAATGATACAAGATTGCGTATAATAAAATTAGACAATTAACGGTGTCATGCAACAATTTTTTTTCATTGCTTTTCTTCTATTGCAGCAAAGATAAAGACTAAGGAAAACAACATTAAATCTAATTATATAATTTGTCAAAATGTTTTTCTTTTGAAAAATCTTGTTTTGATACTCCTGTGTATTCAGTTGCCAACTAGTTTTTATAACAAAATACTGAATTAAATATGTTTTAGTCTTTATTTATATATAAAATTAGAATTTGTTTTTTTTAACGATTGATATAAAATTCATTTTTATATTTTAGTAATGGATGAAACATGTTTTTCATAATTAAAAGAAAAGAAAAATATAAAAAACAGTTTTCTTCACAGTTTAATGGCAACCCTTCAACCTATACATTCCCTTCAGGCTCCTCCTTCCTCAACATGTTAATTCTTAATTTTATATCCAAGTTATTGGTATGATATACACAAGCCTTTTCACATCTATCACCCTCTTTTCTTCTGTTCTGCAACTACCGTTGAAAACATGAATACAAACACAAGTATCAGAGTATTAAATCATATACCACAATTATCTTTCTACGGCAAGATAATATCATGTAAAATTGTTGCAACTGCACAAAGCTCAGAATTCAAGGCTATCCATAAAACAAATGAAGATACTAAAGTCAGTGAGTGCAGTTAGTAAGTTACAGGCACTGTGCAATATTGAGGCAGGGAAGGCTATGATGTTAGAATATGATCAGCTTGAAGACCTATTCAATGATAAATAAACAGAATGAGATGTCCGAGACAATTATAAATGAAAAATAAATAGGAGGGGCAAAAAGAAACTTAAAGAGAACTTGTAAAAATTGAATTACGTGATAAAAGTTCCCTGAGAACAAATTATTATATACAGTAAAGTGAGGATGCAGTTGGGGTTCAAAATATTCTGTTCTAAAGTCTGAATCTACATGATATATTTTTGTCACTTTCAATAAAGATTTAATTCTCATTTGTGTATGTAAAATTATAAACTAGTCAATAAAGTTTGAGGTGGACGGGTCGATTATTGGACCACATGTAATTAGCAGTAGGGCAAGTGTCAGGAATGTGGTTTTCCAGAGGCAATCATGTCCACGAGTTGATTTTTCTATTGTATTTATTTTTGTCATATCACTTTCATGCATGTCGAACCAGAAAGTGTACCGATGCCGAAGGATAAGGCCCTAATCTTCCTTTTCTCCATCAACCCACATTGTGAATGAGAAGTACAAGCATCGTTCTTTCTCTCTTTTCTAGCATAAGATAATTTTACAAACTCAAAAAATGACCATGGTGTCAATTGCATGTTAGGTCCACTGCAATCTAATTAAGGATATAGGACTTCGAGTCACTGTCTTCAATGTCCGAATAATTGATGGTTATTTCCATCATTCCATAATTCTACCATAGTACTTACACGAATGTTCCACCATCTATATGATTTCTGTAAGAAACAGAAGGATACCATTTTTGTAGCTTAAATTATGCCTACCACGATGTCCTTAAAAAACAAAACTTTGACACTGCTAAATAACCGGGTAGTTAAGTCCGTTATTGCGGTCACGTGTTCATAATCATATTACAGTTGTTCACAACAGGGGTTGAAACTCGGAACCACTCTACTTCAACTCTGCTTGCTTGAGTTTAGGTAAATAATTTTTTGATTTCTCGTTGTCAGTTTAATTTGATACTTACAATACTCGTGATCAAATATTTAATTCCACGGCTATGAGTGAAACTCTCTTTGAAGAACGTTAGTTTTGGATTGGTAATTATAACTGAAAGAATTGGATATCATTAACACCTATTTTACTATGGTAGCTGCTTCCGTTAATTTGATGGCAGGAGATAGTACATAGTACAAATTCAGACAGTAATCACAACCATTATTGCTTCATGCGTCTGTATTTGACCGTAGTTCTAGAATTGACATTGGATAAGATTAAGGCGAAGGTAGTTGGTGGTTGAAAAGTTGCGATTTTGGTATCAATTTTCGTGGGATAACTTGGTTTTTCACGAGGAAGGTGTGATGGGAAACCCGTGGTTTTTCACCTGCTTCGTGCAGCTGAACTTGTTAATCTTGTTTTCGTATCCACACGGGAAGCAGCTTTGAACTCCTCGGCTTAAAGGGATCGAGAATAGTGATACTGATATCGTTTCTTGCTTCTTCAGTTTATACAATCAGCAAGGTGTTTGGATATGAATCATTCTGCGGCTGGAAGTGATGATATAAGAGCGGTTGAAATTACCAAGGATAGGAACGGAATAGGCCTAGTGGTTCTGCGGAACCATCGAGGAGCCTCGGCAAGGGTCAGATTCTTTTAACTCTCACTGATCTCTTACATTCACCACCTTTTTGCAGAAATTATTGTATGGTAAATGATTATTACGTTGAGATCAATTTCTACTTTACATGTTTTTGAAACTTGTATACGAACTTTCAAATGTCATTATGTGTCCGATAGAAATTACCCAGATCATCATGCCATCCCAGAACATATAATAGTTTCTTTCCTTTTTGATTCTGAAATAACTGTTTTCATAAATTGATGTTAGCGTGGGTGACACTTTTAGGTTAGTTTGCACGGAGGGCAGGTTCTTTCATGGAAATGGGAACGTGGGGAGGAGCTTTTGTTCACTAGTAGTAAGGTAAACATATGAGGATTTTTTACTTCTTTTGTTTTTTGTTTTGGAATCATCTATTATTTAATTAGCTTTTACTTGAGGATGTAATTTTCTCTGTATATGTGATGTTTCTTTCTCAGGCTATCATAAGTCCTCTCAAACCATTACGAGGAGGAATTGCAATCTGTTTCCCTCAGGTATAATTTCAATGTCGATAATAATTTCTAAAAGCAAATTGCACCAACATATTTATACCAAAAATAAATAACAGAAAAATTACTACAGAGTTAGATAATTTTTTTTTTTTTGACTTCTTGTAATTTTATGTTTCCAGTTCAGAAACCGTGGATCATTAGAGCATCATGGGTTTGCCCGGAACAAAATGTGGGTAATTGATCAAGATCCTTCACCGTTACCCACTGATTCCAGTGAAAAAGCCCATATTGACTTGCTGCTCAAACCAACAGAAGATGATCTGAAAATATGGCCACATAGGTTCGGAATTAAATGCATATTATGTGTTTACTTACTCCAGAACCCACACTTTTTATCTTTTGAATTTAGACAATAAAAACATGATATAAATTGTGAGAAATTATAACCATATACCTAAATGATGACACTTTTCTTGTCCAAAACTCGAATCAGTCCAAGAATTCACATCGCAAGAAAACTAAAAAGTAAATGAATTGTTGGCGTAAGTGCAGAGACCCCAACCACATGTGGGGGATCTCGATTGCAAACATGGGTAGTTTTATCATGTTTTTTCGCATCCCACCTAAATTGTCGGTTGAATCTCCGAACATTTGAGATACTGATCTGGAATATTTTGCCCAGCTTCGAACTTCGGTTAAGGGTCTCTTTGGGAGGCAATGGATATTTAACTCTGATTTCTCGCGTCAGGAACGTCAATAGCAAGCCCTTCAGTTTCTCCTTTGCGTACCATACATATTACTCTGTCTCGGATATCAGGTCCGTAACCAAATGTGATCATGACAACATACATTTGACATAAAGAAATAGAACGTTGAATAAAAGATTTTACATAAGCACGTTAATTAATCTCTGACTATCATTGGCAGTGAAGTGAGGGTGGAAGGATTGGAAACTCTTGACTATCTAGACAACTTACACAACCAAGAACGCTTCACGGAACAAGGAGATGCATTGACATTTGAATCAGAGGTGAGACAACTTGTTGAAACAGTGACATTGATTTAAGAAAAGTGAGATATTTTTATGTTGTTGTCGGGATGTATTAGGTGGATCGAGTGTATCTTGATTCGGGCAGCAGTGGGGTGGCTGTTCTAGACCACGAAAAGAAGCAGACAATTGTCATAAGAAAGGAAGGACTCCCAGATGTTGGTATGGTTCCTTGCACTTCCAAATGAAATGGTGAATGATGTTGGTAGTTTAGTGAAATTTTGGTACGCAATGTAACAGGTGAAACTAACCAAGTTTGGTTTTGCATAGTTGTTTGGAATCCGTGGGAGAAAAAGTCCAAGGCGATAGTGGATTTGGGGGATGAAGAGTACAAGCAGATGGTGTGCGTGGATGGTGCAGCGATTGAGAAACCAATCACGTTGAAGCCAGGTGAAGAATGGACTGGCCGCTTGGACCTCTCTGTGGTCCCTTCCACTTGATATGACACCAATTTGGTATGAAGATGCTGATAAAGTGGAATCAATCTTAGGTGGAGTAGTTTAAATGTTTTTTGTTATCACAGTTCAAAGTTTTATTTTGTTTGACAAAAAGCATCTAAGACATGCATGTGCTGGAGTTGTCTCATAAACTAACTAAAACATACCATCCAGCATTCTTTTTGGCTGATGGTGAACCTGTCTATGCAGACTCTCAAACTTACTACTCATGTATGCTTGTAGATAAAGACTACATGTCTAAAATGTTGCTTCACTATGCTTTTCCCATAAATACACAGCACATATGTAGTTAATTTCTTACCAGGAATACGAAAGGGTAGTAATGTGATATATAGAGGGAAAAGATACGTATGATCTGAAAATAAAATATGTGAATTTTAAACTTTGTGTAGGCTGGCCACTCTTATGCAATTTCTTGATTATACAAAATTGAAGGTGTTATGGAAAATTATTTTTTTGAAAAAACAATGAATTGGCTTAGTACTTGTATAAAACTAATAGGACATACAGTATGATTATCTTATGGATTTGGCTGATGAGAAATCACATCCTTCAACTTTTTATTTGAATGGTTCATGTTGATTTCGCAAATTACATATACAGGTTAATTATTAAGTGAAGTCAGCATAAAATTCATATTCACCTTACAATAAAAATAAAAGTATCAAATGATTCTGATAATGTTTGTAGGGATATGTTCTGTCGAGTGCCCTTGACAATGGTATACACTCTTTGATTGTCTGTAAATATCTTAGAACATCTTTTTCGGAATGCTTCTGCAACTTATATCGATTTAAACCTTTTATATTCTTATTATATGATTTTTTTTTTCTTCTAATAGAAATCATAAGCCATTTTTAGTTATGTTGCTGAACTTTGATCTTCTAATCATACAATTGATTCTTCATACAATTTTTAATCATAAGTATTATGATACAAGAAATGCATGATGTTTTTATTCATATTTTGAAAGACATAATCTTAATGAAACATGAGTCGTCCAATCAACTTCTTTTAGTTTAAAACTTTAGATAAGGAATGTTTGCGTCTTCTTTTTTTATATATATTATCCAACTTTACACCATGATTTTGGTCTTTTAAAAACAATAAATATCGGTATTTTTGTTCCTGTGCATTATTCATAATTATATGTCACAGTTTTTTTTTCAATCTTGAAAAAAATGTTTGAAAGCATTTTTTTTCTTTTTATTATGTTTTAGGGTTTCTATAAATTAACAACAAAAACTCTCACATGTTAAAGATGACAATTTTCATAAGCATTTAATTATTTGATAATAAACTTTCCAACATCTATAATATAAATAAAGAGAAAAAGTTTGCTAGGGATGTAACAAACCTGAAATTAAGATTCAAATTAAATAGTGGTGGAACAAATGATAGCTACTCAAGAAAATGACTTCTATATTTTCCATATATATAAGAAAATTTATAATTATTTCGTACCATACAACTTAGATTTTATCAGTTTTATCTTTTTCTTTCTGAACATCGTTTTTAATTTTAGTATATTTGGCTACAGTAATTGATTTTTTTATTCAGCATTCTAAATTTGGCAAAAACAATAAAATATTGTAATTTTGATTTCAAAATTATTAAAATAGTGTAATTTTAAAACACACACACACACACATATATATATATATATATATATATATATTAATTTAATTAAAGTTATATTAATTTAGTATGATTTTAGTGTATTATGATATAAAATGAAGTTCTAGTAGTTTAATACGACTTTAATATACAGTGATATAAACTGAAGTCATATTTGTATAATATGACTTCATTTCGTTGTTTTTTTTTTAATTTTAATTGAAGTTGTATTAGTTTGATATAATTTCAGTTTAATAAAATTATATCAAATTAACTTTAAAATTGTACCACTTTTGATGATTTTAAAGTCAAAATTATAGTGTTTTTGCTTCTAATCTCATTAGAAGTTTTTTTAGTTGGAGCTTATGGAATCCCAAATCATAGTCTTGACTCATAAAAAAAAACTATATAATTAAGGAACACGATAATTTTATAAAACTAATAAAATACATATGAATCTTCAACTTTTCATTATATTAAAACTTTGACGTAATATAAGTTGGTAGAACAATGAGTTAAATAATTGTTGATAAGACTAGTAAGAAGTTTTTTACTTAGGGTAGGTATAGGTTGTTTTGGGGGAAAATAGTGTAAGATGAGAGGTAAAATGTGCATGTCCTACCAAAATCCCAGTGCCATAAAAGTAGGACAATTTCCCATCATCCGTGAATAGACCACCATCCAATTGATGCATCACACCATGAAAACACTTAACTCGTAATCAAACACTTGCATATGCACAACTCATTGGTCTGTGTCTTCCCCACACCACACAATAACTTCTGGCCCTCCTTTAACCAAACTAACTTACAAACAGTACAGTCTCAGCCACTGCAAACACAATTCAACGCTAAAAACCACCTTAATTATTAAACCCCATTTCACAAGTTGGCTGAACTTTGCAATATCATAAATGAAAAATGCAACCTTTGCAATAACAAAATCTTCTCTTCCACCAATATTGTTACACTTCACGTTTTGAAACTTTGATTAAGGAATGGTTTTCAGCCTTTGTGCATTTAATAAAATTAACTAATCTGTATATGCACCGTCTGCCAAAGCTATAACTTTATTCGATGTTGTTGGTTTTGCAGACTCCTAACAAGGAATTGAATTGATACAAATTCCTTCACGACCAACCGTTTTTGTGGATAATGACCTGTGTATTAAGGCTTTGTTACGATAGCCATCGAAGAGGACAAGGTAGTTTAGACTTTAACGTTGGCTGTTGGAGGAAAAAGACAACCATAATTTGGACTGGTTTTTCTCTTTATCTTGTTTCCTTTAAATCTTGCCGTACTCCATCATTCACCACCAACACCTTCAGAGAGTGGAAACCTAATAGTGTTACTCATATACTACTTTCCATAATGCTTCTTCTGATTACAATTAATTTACCTAGCCTTTATAAGTTAATTTCAATGGATATAAAATTTATCTTAATCCCTTTTATCAATATTTAAATATCAACTTTAATATATATATTTTTATTTCTATTTAATCTAATACTTTCAAGTCATTCTTAAATTCTTAAGAAAATATTTTTAAAAAATTATTAAATGTTTAAGAAATCATCTTTTCAAAAAATTGACACTTCTTGAGAATAAAAACTTAAAGGAATGAATTCCGAGTCTTCTGATCTCAAATTTAAGACTTCTTACTCTATTTTTATTTATTTATCATGTTCCTTTGCTATTATTTAGTTTAATGTTTTTAAAATATATTATATACTTTTATTCTAAGATTTTTTTCAAATTTTAATTTTAATCTTTTGAAAAAATTTATGTTTAATTTTCCTTTCGTGTTAAATATTGAACATTTAAGCTAATCATATATACATTCTAATATAATTTTAAATATTTTTGTTTTAGTGTATACTTATAAACTATGTTTAACTTTGTTTTAGTTTTTTCTTATAAACTATACTCGACTTTGTAATACTTTTATCCTACACTTTCAGTGTGCACTTCCAAATTTATAAAAATTTCTATTACGTCCTACAATTAAAATGTTAATAAATTTTTGAAAACAGAAGAGAATCTGGTTAAAGATTTTTTTTCTAAATATTATAATAGCTTTGTCTTTACTGGATATTCATTCTCATTTCTCTATGGGCTTTCACTTCCTCTTTCCTTTCTCCATATGCAGAGTTCTTTCATTTCTTCTCACACAGCTTATTCTAATTAATTAATTGATTATATTTTGATTAAACTTTGTTGTTTTGAATTAATTAATGTTTTATTTGTTTCATGGTTTTTTTAAATTTTTATAATTTAAATATATTTAGTTATTTTTTTAATTAAATATTAAGATTTTATAATTATATAAATATTTTAATTATTTAATTTTATTTTGAATTAAAAATTTAGTTTGTAATTATTTAATATTTATTTATTTTTACTTTTTTACAATTTAAAGTATTTTATTTGTAATAATAAATTATTTAATTAATTAATTTTATTAAATTTTATTGTTTTGAAATATTTAATGTTTAATTTGTTTTATATTTTTTTATAATTTTAAGATATTTTTCTTATTTTTCTAATGAAATATTAGGATTTTATAATTATATAAATATTTTAATTAGTTAAAAATTTTAGTTTGTATTTTAAATACCAATTTTTTTCATATGCATTTTAAATACTATTTTTTTTACGAAATTAAAAAAGTTAAATAAAAATTGCATGTGAAAATTTTTGTCTAAAATATTGTATGTGGAAAAATAATTTTTTTACGAAATAATTTTTTTATGATGTAAAAAAATTAACCTTGCATGTGAAATTTTTTTGTATAAAATATTCAAAAACTAATAATATAAAATCAATTAAAATATTTTATAATTTGAAGACTTAATAAATCATTAAAATTTAGTAAATGTTTAATTAAAATTTTCGAAAGGTATGTTTAAGTCTTTATAATTAAACATATTTTATTTGCTGAATTGATGCATAATCTGTGCTTTTCAGGTACATAAGATTAAAATGAATTATAACCATTCTAAGTTATACATATACCTATTTTTCTTGTAATTAATAAAACAATGAAACTAGGTTTATTGGTCTGGTCCAACAATTTCAGCCTTGTCATAACTTTAAACTATTACAACTTTCTCGCTAAATGCCACTAAATTATATCTAAAAGACCTCCTTATTAGTATAAAATTATTTATCACACTTAATTAAAATGTGTCAAAGATAGAAGCCAAATAACTCTGGAATGCTAGCAAATAAGAGCACTTTTTCTATTTTATGTCTCCTTTTTCAATTATTATGTTTTAAATATTAGTGACAATGTTTTATCCCTAGTCTCAGAAAATGACAGTATCCTTTTACAATTCATGAAAAAGCTTGCAGGACACAAACTAAGTACGATTCGTATTAGTAATTGGATTTATCTTGAATCAATCATAAAGAAAGATTAGAGAAAAATATTTAGGATTTATTCTATTGAAATTTTGGGATCGAAAGGGTTACGAGTGTTATTAGTAATGGAAAGGAGATTATTTAAGTTCAGATAATGTTTAAATCCAAGCATAATCCAGATTAAAAATTTAGATTTTTCAAATTTTAAAATCCATATTAATAAAATAGAATTATAGTTTAGAAAATCATGAGATATGGGTGAAAGTAGCAATCAGAT